ATGCTTGTACTGAGCAAGAAAGTCATAGCAAAAAGCTTTTGAGGGGCGCCTGGGTGGCTCAGTGGGTTAAAGCCTCTGCCTTCGGCTCGGGTCATGATCTCAGGGTCCTGGGATCGAGCCCCACATCGGGTTCTCTGCTTAGTGGGGAGCCTGCTTCCTCCTCTCTCTCTCTCTCTGCCTGCCTCTCTGCTTACTTGTGATCTCTCTCTGTCAAATAAATAAATAAAATCTTAAAAAAAAAAAGTTTTTGAAAATTTTGATTTGTTGACCCTAAATTGCGCTGACAACATCTCTTTTCTGTTCAAATAAACATTTATTCCAATAAAAGGAGGCACTGTGATCTTTGGTATTTGCTGTTCATTTCTGCTGCACAGTGCCTTGGTTAAAGTTTTGTGTGTTTACTAATCACACAGACCTTAGGAAGGTAACAAGTTGTTTTCCCATTGCGACTAGTTTTGTATCTAAACTCTGAAAATGGCTTCTAACCAAGGAAGTCATAATAAATGAAAGTTGAATCTACACTTGTGTGAATAATAAGGAATTTTTAAAAAAGCTTGAGTCATCTCCATTTATTAAGTAAATATTTTTATGAAATAATTTAATAAATGACAGTATTCATTTAAAAAATATCTACAACAAAGTATTTTAATATGAATTAACAAGGACTTCGGAATGGGCCTCACAGAGGGGGTACATGAATCTTTGGAAATTTTTGGTGTGTTCCTAGGTTAATCAGATTCTTTTTCTTTTTATTAAGATTTTATTTATTTGACACAGAGATCACAAGTAGGCAGAGACACAGGCAGAGAGAGAGGGGGAAGCAGACTCCCCACTGAGCAGAGAGCCTGATGTGGGGCTCCATCCCAGGACCCTGAGATCATGACCTGAGCAGAAGGCATTGACTTAACCCACTGAGTCACCCAGGTACCCCAGTTAATCAGATTCTAAAAGGAGTATTTGATTCCCCAGTTGTACCATAAAAAAAAAAAAAAAAAAAAAAGAAAGAAAAAAGAAAAGAAGATATAAGTACACTGCCTTAGGAAAAAAAACAAAACCTCATGTGGTTTAAAATATGTCAGTCCTCCACCTCACCCCCTCCTCTGGGGAATGCAAATACTTTTGCGTAGACAGTCAAGTTGAGGCCCCTGATTATTGCTGATTCTCGCATACTGACTCAAAATTTCCCACAGAGTAGTTTAGATGAAAAAACAAAAAAATCAAAAAGACCTTTAAATCTTCCCAAGGAAATGTATATATTCTGATGCACAAATCCCTCTACTCTGCTTGGTTGGCAGGAGAGAACCAAAGTTGTAACCTTTCTTGACTCCAAGAGCCTGAGTGTGGTAGTGGCAGCCGCAGCAGTGGTGTGCAGGGTGGAGAGTTAGCGCCCTCTGCTGATGGAGGAGGTAGAACTGTCCAGTGAAAAGTGAGACCTCTTTTTAGTTCTTTTTCCCTCATGATAGTCATCCTTCTTATTAAAATGATTCAACCTGGGGGAAATAAAAATTATAAGTACTTACAAAGTTTTGCGTGTGTACAAGTGTGAGCATATGTGTAGGCACACGCATGTGTGTTGTTCCATACACACCCTTTTAATGTAGGCACTAAACAGATGGTCCCTAAGGTTCGTTAGACTTTTAAAATGATGTGATTCTAAAAGTACTTAAGAGGTTTCTTATAAGGACGCTTCAGGAAATAGAAATTTATGATTCATATGAGTAATAAATATTTGATGCATGTGGCTAACAGTTTAACTGATCAATGCCCAAGAATTTTAATAAGGAATTACTATAGGGTTTGGAACATTTATAGTGAAGAGGTACCGATCACCAGTCATATGAGATGCAGACTTATGCTTGAGGAGAGACAATCAGCTAGAATTTAGGAGTCTGGACTATTGATCATTAAACTTAATTTACTTTAAATAAGAGAAAACAATACATTCAAGAAATCTTATTTCTATTAAATGCAGGTTTCTTTACACATACTAGTTTAAACATTTTAAAAGTTTTATTGAGGTACAATTTCCATACCATATGTTCTCCCATTGATTTTTAGTAAACTTATAGGATTGTATGACCATTACCACAGTCTACTTCTAGAATTTCTTCATCTCCCCACAAATTTCCCCCCACCAATTATTTGTGGTCAGTCCCCACTGCCAACCCTCCAGCCACAGATAACCACTGCTTTGATTTCTGTCTCTGTAAGTTTTCTTTTTTCCAGAAATTTCATAAATGGATCATACAATATGTAGTCTTTGTATCTGGTTTCTTTTATTTGGCATAATGGTTTTGAGGTTCATCTATGTTGACACATATACCCATAATGTGATGCTTTTAATTGGTGGATAGTATTTAATCATGTCTAGTATTTTATATCTTGATTATTCATTCACCAGCTGGTGAACGCTTGGATTGTTTCTAGTCTTTGGTTATCATAAATAATGCTTCTAGAAACGTTTACACACAAGTCTTTGTGTGTACGTATATTTCATTCCTCTTGGGTAGATTTCTAAGGATGGGAATTCATAAATTGTGTGATAAGGTTATAGTTAACTTTACGAAAAGCCGCTGTACTGCTTTCTAATGTGGCCTTATTATTTTACATCTCCACCAACTATATATAACAGCTTCAGTTTCTCAAAATCCTTGCCAATACTTGGTATTTTCTGTTTTTTTTTTCAAAAATTATTACTATAGTCATCTTAGGCGATGTGTAATAGTACCTCGTTTTGGTTTTAATTTGCATTTCCTTAATGACTAATTATATTGAGCACCTTTTTATGTGCTTATTAGCTATTTGACGTCTTCTGGGAAGATTTTCTATTCAACTCTTAAGTGTGTCTGTAATTGAGTTGTCTTATTATAGAGTGTGGGGGTCCTGTATCTGTTCTGGATGTAAGTCCTTTACCAGATACGTGACTTGCAATACTTATTTCAGTATGAGGCTTGTCTTTTCATTTTCTTAGTAGTATCTTTTAAGGCACTAATATATATATTTTTTTTCTTAAGATTTTATTTCTTTGTCAGAGAGAGAGAGAGCACAAGCAGGGGGAAGGGCAGGCAGAGGGAGAAGCAGGCTCCCCACTGAGCAAGGAGCCCCATGAGGGACTAGATCCCAAGATGCTGGGATCATGACCTGAGCCAAAGGCAGATGCTCAACCTACTGAGCCACCCAGGCATCCTACAAATGTGTGTTTTTTTTTTTTAATAAACTCCATTATTATTATTTTTTTAATGGCTTGTGCTTTTTTTGTTGAATCTGAAAATTTGTTACATCCAAGAATTCTTCCAAGGTCAAAAAGATTTTTTTCCTATTTTTTTTCTTGAGGCTTCATAATTTTAACTCTTACATTGAAGTCTGTGATCCACTTTGAGATAATTTTAATGTACAGTTTGAGGTAAAAGCCAGACTTTGCAATTGTCCCAACACTATTTGTTGAAGAGTATCATGTTTCATTGAATTGTGTTGGCATTTTACACATATTAATTTACATTACATGCATTTATTAATCTCTTCCCCTTAAACCCTTTTAAATAATTGACCTTATCTTAATTTCATAAATCAATTCACAGACTCAGATTTTAACTAATACACTCAAGTTCCCACAGCTAGTAGATGGCAGAACCAGGATACCCAAGTACAAGATCTATCTTACTAAAATTCAGTCACATGTTGCTTACTTCCATATTAAACCTTAAGCTCCTTGAGATTGCATATCACTTCGTCTTATCTTGCGACTGTAATGTAGTCTGGTATTGCTTATTTCAAGGTCCTGTTATGAAACACTCAATTGAGTTAAGTGATGTTTGTGTGAAAATAACAACCTTATCATCTCAATAATGTTTTCTCTCAATTATGTTTATGCTTATCATTGACAAAACCAGATTTTCACTTCATTTTATTTATTTTTAGTTTTAATTTTTAAAAAGATTTTATTTATTTATTTGACAGATGGAGATCACAAGTAGGCAGAGAGGCAGGCAGAGAGGCGGGGGCCGGCGGGGGGGGGGAGAAGCAGGCTCCCTGCTGTGCCGAAAGCCCGATGTGGGGCTCCATCCCAGGACCCTGAGATCATGACCTGAGCCGAAGGCAGAGGCTTTAACCCACTGAGCCACCCAGGCGCCCTCAGACTTTAATTTTAAAGGAAATGTTTCAAGGAGATAACTACTTACCTTCTATTAAAAGTCATTCATTCCGGGGCGCCTGGGTGGCTCAGTGGATTAAACCACTGCCTTCAGCTCAGGTCATGGTCTCAGTGTCCTGGGATCAAGCCCCGCATCGGGTTCTCTGCTCAGCGGGGAGCCTGCTTCCCCCTCTCTCTCTCTGCCTGCCTCTCTGCCTACTTGTGATCTCTCTCTCTGTCAAATAAATAAATAAAATCTTAAAAAAAAAAAAAGTCATTCATTCTGGGTGATGGACATTGGGGAGGGTATATGCTATGGTGAGGGCTGTGAATTGTGTAAGACTGAAGAATCACAGACCTATACTCCTGAAACAAATAATACATTATATGTTAAATAAAAAACAAAAAAAAATATATATGGCAGAATTTAATAGTAGCAAAAATAAGCATTTTTTAGATTTAAAAAAAGGCTCAATGTTTTGACTTAATAAAATGAACATGACTTAAGTATTAAAAAAAACGTCATTCATTCTGAATGAACATGAAATTCATTGGGAACTATGGTGACTTGAGAGTTTCTGTGCTCATATTTGACTATAAAGGAGTTTTGGGTAACATAAGGTGGGTCTCAGATAAAGACCTTCAGATAGTGATAGAAGTATCAGCTTGGAAGCCAGAAGGTCCTGGTCCTGGCACTGCAGTCACTTATTATGTGACCTTGAGCAAGACCTTGGCTCTCTCTGTACCACAGTCTCCTCGCTGGACCTGGTTACCATTATGATTTGCCTCCCATGATATGCTTTTGTCAGTGAAGAACCATGATAACAACCTGTCCTACTGATGACACATCGGTGGCTTCTCTTCTGTGCAGATTGCAGTGAGAATATGTTCCACTGTCACACGGGCAAGTGCCTCAATTCTAGCCTCGTGTGTGATGGATACGATGACTGCGGGGACCTGAGTGATGAGCAGAACTGTGGTAAGTAGCATCGTTCCCCTAAAGGTTTTCAATGAAACTTACAAAAATGTGTAATGCAGAACCCATAGCTCATTGTTTGTTAATGTGGTTAGCAGAGTAAATGACAAAATGGTGGGTTTCTTAATTTTTAGAAAGAGGAATTGCTAGTCTTAGTCATTTCTTACATGTCAATGTCATATTTCTTACATAAAGTCGTAATAAGGAAGTGCTTAAGAAGTAGGGTGGAAAGATGGGTAAGAGTTGTTAATTTGTTCATAAATTTTTCTCCTTGAGGATGTTCTGTTTCTTCTTTGGTTAGAGCCAGTGGCTCTAACTATGTTTAGATTTCGAGCTCTTGAGCAAAACTTTGCGGACGGATAAATTGTCGTGTGGCTGATCCCCTGGACCCCTCCTTTAACTGATAGCCTAGCACGGCAGGGATGACTTCTGTAGAACTGACACCTAGGGTTAGGACAAGCACATTTATTTTATGTACACAATCTGATCTGATCTTGTAAAAAATGAACCTACTTACTAGTTACACGTTTATACCTATAAATAACATCTTCCTAATTCACCCCAGACCCTGGTAACTACCTTTCCACTCCTTGTTTTTACAAATTCGGCTTTTGAAGATTCCACATATAAATGCTGTCACACAGTATTTATCTTTCTCTTTGACTTATCTCACTTAGCATAAACACACACAGTGTTCTATGTCCATTATATCTTAATAAATAAAAGAATGGACCTGCTATTTAAAAAGCTGTGTTCAATTGTGAATGGCATTTCATGCATTAAAAGCAGCAACATTCCTTTTGTGTATTTACCTTTTTGACTTGTGGTTACCTTTAGAATTTTTAGGTCTTGTATTATTGAGTGACATGAGGACTTTATGATATGAACAGAAAGACAAGCTAAGATGAGGAGGTACCCTGGAAAAATGATATGAAATAATATTTAGCAATTAGATATTGAAGTGGATGTTGGGGAAGGGTCAGAGGAATGTCTCGGAGTGGCAAGTGTCAGAAACGGCCCCATACTGGGAAACTAGGTCATTTCTAGAAGTCGCTGTCCAGCTGCTTCTCACTGTATCCGTAAAAATACTGGAAATTTGTATGTGTACAAATCATCTCACAAGTCACTAGGTAGATACAGATTGCCTTCTGAGACTGAATAATGGTGGAACAAAGAGTGAGAGGCAATTTTCATTGTATACATCACAGAATTTATAGTTGGAAGAGGTCTTGTAAATTGATCTAATTCAGACCCTCCTTTGACCAGTTGAGATCACTGGAGGAAAGAGGGGGAAAATGTGGGGGCATGGGGTGGAGGGCTTGAGTGTAGCTTGGTGCTTGGACAGGTCGGTGGAGAGGGCCAGGGTATAGTTACTGTGTGAAAAAGAATGGTCTTACCACTCAACATATTTCCTCTGAAGATAGTAGGGTATCATGAAGTGTGCTCTTAGGGTGCCTATGCCCTATGCCCTGGGAAGAATTACAGCTTTCCCTTAGACCATTCTCTGCCCCAGCTACCCATTGTTAGCAGGCTGAGCATTGTGCTGGTTCTTCTGGTTTCTGCATAGGCATCCCATCTATTGGGTCTTTCTTCTTTTCTCTGCAGTCCGTCTTCCATATACCTTACTTTATTGGTTCACTATGCCTTCTCAGATCCATGGTTGCTCCGTGACTCTGTCAGTGACAGTGGCGCTGTTCACGGATACTCATGATAGTTCCCCAATACTGAATCTGTCATCCATGAATCCACACATATCTTTTATTTATTTTTACTTTTTTTTTAAAAAGATTTTATTTATTTATTTGACAAGAGAAAGAGATCACAAATAGGCAGAGAGATGGGCACAGAGAGAGAGAGAGAGGGAAGCAGGCTCCCCACTGAGCAGAGAGCCCGATGTGGGACTTGATCCCAGGACCCTGAGATCATGACCTGAGCCAAAGGCGGAGGCTTAACCCACTGAACCACCCAGGCATCCCTATTTTTACTTTTTTAATTTAGATTCAATTAACCAACATATAGTACATCATTAGTTTCAGATGTAAGTGTTCAGTGATTCATCAGCTGCATATAACCCCCAGTGCTCATTACATCATGTGCCCTCCTTGATGCCCATTACCCAGTTACCCTGTCCTCTCACCCACCCTACCTCCAGCAGCCCTCAGTTTGTTTCCTATAGCTAAGAGTTTCTCATGGTTTTTCTCCCTCTCAGATGACTTCCCTTTCATCCCCCCTGCTTCCCGCTGTGATCCTCTGCACTGTTTCTTATATTCCACGTATGAGTGAAACCATATAATTTGTCTTTCTCTGATTGACCTATTTCGCTCAGTTCCATTCACATGATGTAAATGGTAAGCATTCATCCTTTCTGATGGCTGAGTAATATCTCACTGTGTATATACCCCGCATCTTCTTTTTTTTTTATTTAATTTCTTTTCAGTGTAACAGAATTCATTGTTCATGCATCACACCCAGTGCTCCATGCAATACGTGCCCTCCTTAATACCCACCACCAGGCTCCCCCAGCCTCCCACCCCCTACCTCTTCAAAACCCTCAGATTGTTTTTCAGAGTCCACAGTCTCTCATGGTTCATCTCCCCCTCCAGTTTCCCCCAACTCCCTTCTCCTCTCCATCTCCCCATGTCCTCCGTGTTATTCCTTATGTTCCTCAAGTAAGTGAAACCATATGATAATTTACTCTCTCTGCTTGACTTATTTCACTCAGCATAATCTCCTCCAGTCCCGTCCATGTTGATACAAAAGTTGGGTATTCATCCTTTCTGATTGTACCACATCTTCTTTATCTATTCATCTGTCGATGAACACCTCAACTCTTTCCACAGTTTGGCTATTCACACATATCTTTTGAAGGGTTATTTATATCAAGGTTATTCCATGTCTCATGGTAAAGAATCCTATAGATCCTGCTCTCTGTGAGGAGAAACATCACTTAATTCCCTTTTTTTCTCCAGGAATGTATAGTTTGGGGTGGAGGCTAAATCCAGGATAAAAAGAATCATGAAAAAAATTTAAGCATTTTTTACCCAGCAGTTTTTCCCAATATGAGTGTATCTTAAGATAGTTTGACAGAAAGCCCAAGCTTAGGCTTAGGAAAGATGACTGGAGATATCTGCCTTCCCAGTTTACCATAAAGAGTTAGGTTACAATTCTTAGAAATGTGGTAGGGTTGTCATAAATTCATCAAATCAGCTATCTACGTTGTGAAGCTTATATCACAGTTCTGTTTATTTTAACCAACATAAAAATCAAACGTTTTTCATAGGGAAAGAAAACAACAACTAAACAAAACCAAAAAAAGACAGGAACAAACTGTGGGTCCTGAGAAAGCTGGTCTTACCCCGTAGAGATGGTGGCCAGTGGGTCACATGCCTGTGTAGAAGTGGCATGGCTGTTTCAGATCCATCATGGAAAAAGGGTTGAGGGTATCGGATCTTCAGCTGGAGCTATGTGTCATGCCGTTCTAAATGTTTGTCATGCTGGTTCTCCACATCCCCACGAGTTTCTGTTTTCTCCAGATTGCAGTCCCACAAGGGAGCACCGCTGTGGAGATGGGCGCTGCATCGCAATAGAGTGGGTGTGTGACGGTGACCATGACTGTGTGGATAAGTCTGATGAAGTCAACTGCTGTGAGTGCCCTGATGATTTCCATTTGCTTATCTTTTCATTGCTGCCTCGTTAGACTAATACAATATCTGGCTTTCAAACGGAAGATGGTCATACTTTGGCTCTAGTCGATAAAGATAATAATTAAGTGGTGTGATGACAAATGCCATGTATCTGGCTTCCACATGTCTCTCCCCACAACTCCAAGCTTATTTTGGCTGCTCAGGCCAAGCAGGTGTCTGTTTCTCCCCATCATTGGCCACACACCTCCTTTCTGCATCTGTGACTTTGTCCAATGCTGTGTTCCTCCCAAAGATTGGGAGACTTTTTTTCCTGCAAAGTATATATGAGCAGTTAGGTTTCCTTGCAGGAGCCCCGAACCATGTTCTCAGGCCCCATTTGTGGGAGAACATGGAGAGAATTGCCAGAGAGAAGAAAGCCCTCATGGCTCATGGAGTTACTCAGAGCGCACAACAATAATTATAAGTTTACGGGCTGTCGTGTTTCTGGGTGAGTAAACAGCCCTGATTCTTGAAGTTAGATGTTAAAAAGAGAGCAATATTGACCTGAAGGAGTTAATATGATGTATTTTATGCATGTTCACACTAATTTAAGTTTTTATTCCATCTTTTGCTGTCTAATAAGAGTCACCAAAGTTGATACATATGAGACTGAATATGAGACTTGCCTAGAATTTGAGACAAAAATTGAAATGTGGGTTTGCATGGTTTTTATTTTGACATAGGAAAAGTCATGTAAATTCATTAGCAAATGCAATGCCCAACTCTCCCCTTCCTGAATTGAGTTGGAACTGGAAATATCACTTGAGTCCTTGTTGGTGGACATAGTGGGACAGAGTGGGCTGTGTCTCGGGGGATCGTGGGAAAGCAAGGGTGTGGTGCTCGAGTACGACGATTCTGGTGCTAAGCCTTGCTGCGAGCATAAGGAGCTTTAATATTAGACAGCAACAGGGAGGCTGGGGCCACAGGATGCGTGGGTTTCTGCTGCTCCAAAGGACAATAGGGATAAAACTGAGTCAACCTTCAGGAATGGAAGGTGAGTGGCCACTAGACCATCCCTTTCAAATGCCAGATGCTGTAAGCAAGTTTTGAAATAAGGTGTTTATTGTGTGCAGGGTACTATGCAAGTGCTTTCACATATGTCATTTTATTGGCCTCTTAGATCGGGTTGGAATAAAATGAAATGTTTGGGCTTAGAGTCAGACAAGCTTTGCTTTCACATTCTGGCACCAGCTTTTCACAGCCTTGTGACTTTGAGACAGACACTAAAATAAACTCTTTAGACTTTAATTTCCTTATTCTAAATCAGGTTGATAATATCAATTTTGCAAGTCTATTATGAGGATTTGAGATTAGATCCGTACCACTCCCAGCACAGTCATTACCGTATAACAAGCCTTTAATAAAATTACAGCTTTTCTATGCACAGTACATCTACAGGTCATTAACATCATTAACACAATTTCTTATTGTGCCCTTATCAAGAAAAAGGGAATTTTTAGAAAGTGTCATTTAATAAGGCAAGGGGGAGCCCAGAAAGAAAACTTGCCATTCCAAAAACACTTGGACTGAAACACATCGATGGCACAGTCCTTCACTTATGCAGACCACACAGATACTTAGAACACTTCCTTTCTTGGTGATGCCACACAAGCGGGCACCATCTATACCCAGAGGGCAAGAAGGACGAGGTGGTGCACTGACCGCTGTTCTGGCTTTCCACAGCCTGTCACAGCCAGGGTCTGGCCGAGTGTCGGAGTGGACAGTGTATCCCCAGCACCTTCCAGTGCGACGGGGACGAGGACTGCAGGGACGGCACGGACGAGGAGAATTGCAGCCAGAGTAAGTATGCGTCCCCTACCCCATGCATTCCTTCCTGCGGCCTTTCCTGGCGAACCAAGCAAAGCCTTGGCGGTGATCTCATGCTCACGTGGGATTCCCCCATACATCCTTCCAGATTGCCTGGTGCAGAGCTCCTCACGGCGCTGGCCCACCCAAAAAACCTTTCTTGTGAATACAATTCTGCAGCATCGTACGCGAACAGTCATTCCCCAGGGTAGATGATGGAGGCTGAACGCTTACACAGAGTGGGAGATTCGGTTAATGGTTATAAGGAAGGTCAACACGATGATAAAGGAAAAGCTGAATACACAGTATTCCATTAAGTTAGATTAGGTTCCAATTAGGAGGAATTGGCTTCTGGAAATTAAATGAGAAAGCCTTTTAAAATAACCGTGTTCAGAGAAGCGCTTCCTTTTTCTTTTTCTTTTTTTTTCTTTTCTTCTTCTTTTTCTTTTGCCTGGCAGTGTCATTTTTACTTATTTTTTTTAAAGATTTTATTTATTTATTTGAGAGAGAGAGTGAGAGAGCATGAGAGGGGTGAGGGTTAGAGGGAGAAGCAGACTCCCCACTGAGCCAGGAGCCCGATACGGGGCTCGATCCCAGAACCCTGAGATTGTGACCTGAGCCATAGGTAGAGGCTTAACTGACTGAGACACCCAGATGCCCCAGTGCCATTTTATTTTTTTATTTCAAGTTTTTATTTAAGTTCCAGTTAGTTAACATATAGTGTAGTATTGGTTTCAGGAGTAGAGTTTAGTGATTCATCACAAAGAAGCAGTTTCATGTCTCACATGACAGAGCCATGTACTTTGTTGCACTTGGGAAGGGTCGCTGATGTCATCTGTGAAAATCAAAAAGAAAATCAAATAAGTTGTTTTTTAAAATGTCTATGTCTCTCAGAGAAGAAAGATTCGCACTGATTGTTTGAAGCTTCACGTTGTGTCAAAGCATTTCTCAGCACAGGGCTGGTGGGAATACTCCTTGACTGACAAATCACTATGTTTGTTTATACGTGACCTAGCCCCTCACCAGCATAGCCTAGTCATTAAGAAGGTGGCCGCTGGAGCCCAGCTCCCTGGGTTCAGGCACCAGCTCTGCTCCCTGGTTCACTTTAGGCTGGTACCTGAGCTCTGTTGGGTCTCGGGTTCAGTGCCTGCAAACTTAGAGTCACAGAGCTGACTTGTGGGGAACACTCTAGAAATGGTAACTCTTATTATGTGGCTGTTGTGTTCAAACATGCCTTGGGCTGGGCATATCACAAATCGGCTAATGAGATTGGTCACCTGTGGCTACAGTAGTTTTGTCTTAATAAACACTGATCATTAGAATTGCTTTAGGGAAAAAGCATTCCAGTCCTAAAGGGAGACACTTTTAATCACAGATTTAATACCTAAAGCATCCGATAAAGAGTGCTTTGTTTTACCAATTTTAAAATTCAGAAGCAGATTCTTTTCTAGCCATGAGTTACTATGTGCCTATCAGCCAAGCACCTCCCTTTGGATCAAATTGTTCTTTCTTTCTACATAATTCATCTCTGTTTGAAATAATCTTGGATTCTTCCCTATGCAATGGCGAGATTTATAAAGTATTTCCTTACATACGTGAGATGCAAGAAGGTCATGTGATGAAATGGAACAAAAGTCAGATTTTATCATCTTTATATTACTTAATCTAATGCATTTAACTTAATAAATGTATGTCATGGTGCTCATAGGTGGTTAACCACGGGGGAATTTGTGGCAAGTGAAACTCCTCATGGAGCTTGCAGGCTCCTGGGCAAGACATGCATGATGGAAATTACTGTGCAGTTCAGTGTCCCACCATGGAGTGATGTAGGCCGTGAGGGAAGATTCAGGGAGCTCCATGCCGTATATGGGATGCATGGTCTTGTACAAGGCATCAGGGAAGGTTCCCTGAGGAAGAGATGTTGGCATGAAAATCTGAAGAATGAGTGGAGTTGACTTAATAAAGGAAAGTGGGACTGGAAAAAAAGCATTTCAGGCACAGGGAACTGCTTGGTCAAAGGTCCGAGGGAGGAAAGGAGCAAGACATATGGAGGATACCGGGAGAAGGCCACTATGATTAAATTCAGGAGTGAAGGGGAAGAGGGTACTACTTCAGAATATTGCCACCAGTAAGCCCAGGCTGGCTCTGCTGGAGAGGTTGGGGAGGGAAATAAGAGCCACCCAAGTCTTTGGGCCCAGTCCAAGATTCAGGCCATTACAGCCCTCAGGCTCTGCTCTCGGCCTTCCCTTCTAGCCTCCCTGAGGCTACAGTGAGGCCAGCCTGTGCTCTCCACTCCAGCCTTTGCATATTCTACTGTCTGCTTGGGAAACCCATTCTACCTTCTTATGCCAACTTAACCCAGCTGCCTTAAGAACTCCTTCTTCAAGAAGCTCTCCCTGAACTGTCCTAGTCTGCTTCTGTTGCCTTACATATGCCTTCAGTGGCACAGTGATCACACAGCATGGTAAGGTTCTCTGGCCATGGACATCCCCTGAGTTAGAATATAAGCCATTTCACTTCTTTCCTCTTTTAATGCTTCATTGTACAGCTGGTCACAGAAGCTTGTCACACAGCAGACACTCCATATCTGCTGAAATAATGAATGCATGGCGTCTTATTAAAATTATTTAAGAGATACAAGGTGGTGGGTATTAGGGAGGGCACGTACTGCATGGAGCACTGGGTGTGGTGCAAAAACAATGAATACTGTTACGCTGAAAAGAAGTTTAAAAAAATGAATAGAAATAAATACTTCCAAATTAAAAAAAAAAAGATGAAATTCATGGAAATGACCCTGGCTTACCTTGCAACGATGGTTTGACTCTGATGATATTTAAAAAAACAAAACAAAACAAAACGAATGGCATCTCTTTTCTTCAAGGCTATAATATATACTGTTGCACATTAATGGGAAGAGTCCAGTATAATAAACATTGTCTTAGAATTATAGATGAGAATGATTATACGTATACGCATACTGTTATTTATTCTTAAAAATGTCTTGCAAGATTATTTAGATTCCCGATGACATATCTGAAAGTAATTGACTATAATGGGCAAGAGCTGAAAAGAGAATGGGCAGTAATTTATTACCTTTTCCACTTAACCTACAAATGACCAGGAAATCAATGGGAAAAGCAGTTTCCTCTCTACATACCTTAAGGAAAAGCCATTAGGCTGACGCTACTGCTCTTATTCATTTGGAAACGAGAAACCCAATTGTCAGGTCATCACAGCTAGGCCAGTGATACTTTCTAAGCACATACAGAAAATAGAGATTGCAGCTGCCCAAGACTTGCACCATGACAAAGTATCCTCACTGTACTGGCGTCGATGCCCTATTTATTCTTAGGGAAAGCATTTTCCTTATGAGGAAGACTAGAGCTGGGTGCAAATGAGTCCTTAAAATAATACGGTTTGGTGTTCAAGATTCCAAGATCATTATGCTGGCCTTTCTCTCCAGTCACTTACTTTTTTTTTTTTTTTGTAATCCAGTTAATTCATCCAAGTAAACATAAAACACTTCCCCTCACCCCGCATGAAAAGCAACAAGAGCCCCTTTTTGTAGGATAGCTTGCCTCTTATTTCTTTGTTCCTACAGAATCCTTTTGGAATAACTGTATTTAGTTGCCAGGAAAATTAATCCAGAAAGCTACATATTTAACATGTGTTCACTATTTTTGGAGACATTGGAAGGGAATTAAAGTTATGTCCTTCCTCAGCTCCACAAGACGTCCTTGATGCTTTCAATCCTAGTGTGAGGAATTTACAGATGATGAAACAAGTGTGCCTTTCCCCCCTCTATAGGTCAGACTCCATGTCAAGAAGGCGACCAAAGATGCCTCTACACTTCCTGCCTTGATTCATGTGGTGGCAGCTCCCTCTGTGACCCGAACAACTGTAGTAAGTACAGCAGTTGACAAGGGCCATCACCATGTCGGGATATGCATTTTGCTTTTTTCTTTGGCAGGAAAATACTGAAGTCTGGAATCCTTCCAAATGTGTGCGTGTGTGTGTGTGTGTGTGTGTGTGTGTGTGTGTGTGTGTATGTGCGCACGTGCATATATACACACACACATATATATACACATATATACATATATATTTCTTTTTTCTTTTTTAAAGGTTGCATGTGGTAGCAGAAAAGAAACAAAATGGTCTTAATTGACTTAAATCAGAAACAAATGTGTCACTACGAATGGCCTATAAATCCCAAATTGCCTGATAGCATCACCATTACTTTCCCTTCAACATCAGCTCGTATGTGTTACTTTCTTGGCTCCGTCTGCAGGCAGATGCTATCTTCCTTCCCTCTTAAAGCAGAGCTTCAAAAATGGAAACTTCATCCAAGAAGCAAATACGAGGTTCGTCTAAACAGCGCATAGAGCTGTGGCAGTCTGTTCTCCTCATAACACTTAACTCTCGCCTTTACAGGAGCTTGGCTGACCTAGAAAGATCTGGTAGCTGTTATATAAATTTGTTTGGTGTAGACTATTGGCTCACTCTAAATTAGCTTGGGGGGAGGTGGAATTCCTAAGGGAGAGAGAATGGGCAGGAAAAGTATAGGGCTCAGTAGGCCCTTGTGGGAAGTTGAAAATGAATCAGACAGACGCGAAAGACTCTGATTTCTAGTAATGAGTTCGTATTTGTGGGCTCCACTTTCATACTCGATTCACTTCTTTCACTTTTTATAATTAATATTTGGCCTCCTCTTTCAGGTAGGGCTTGAGATTTCAAAGCAGATCTGTCAACTTTCAGTTGGCAAAAAAGTTTGAAGGTATCTCCTAGTTGAAAGTCTGAAGGATTCAGGTCCTAGTTTTACTCAGTGACCTTTCTGTGTCACTGTAGAGCTTATAACAGCTTCTCCTGGAAGTGTGAGGGAGGCAGCCAATGAAAAACCTGACTGAGAGGATTTTTTTGTTTAATTTCATGAGCACTTAATAATAAACTTTATAACTATTTAACAGTGTGATACCCAGCCCTTCTCCACTTCTATATGAGAGAACAGTTGAGAGAGATGTTAATCTGACCATTAAGACCTACTGCCACTTTACTCACTCTAAACTGATTTAAATATGTGTGTGTATATATGTGTGATAATTATGTGTATATGTATATGTCCTGGGTCCATTGTTTCACACTTTGCTTTATCCCCCATTCTGCTCTGGAACTTTTCCAGATGTTGTTCTTTCCTTCACCTTGAACTTGGCATGAACAATTTTGAACAGGAACAGTGTCATCTCAAAGACATGTGTTTATTATTAAAGTTTCGGGGATTGTCCAACAGGGAATGGCACTTAGTATTAAATTAAAAAAAAAAAAAGTTGAAAGGGCAGTGTTAGCCTGTGTCCGGTTTGGGTGAGAAATATTGAGTGCATCTTGTCCTAGCTTCTCCATTTCTGAAATATGTCAAAACTCAAAATGTAAAAATATGTTATACCTGTTTAAAAAAAAAAGGTGGAAAGAAAGGCACAAGAGAACTCTGCCTCATGGTCCACTGGTATTTACAGAGGGCATAACAGCATTCCAGGCTCTGGGATGGGCACTGGGCACTCTAATGGCAGAGAAGGGAGACATGATTTCTGCCTTCCTGGAGATAACTTTTCCGTGTGGGAGAACGCACGCCGCCATCTTTCCACTCACGTTTACTATATTCTCTTACGTTTTCTCTTTATGTTCTTTCAGTACACTCGAAACAATGCCCCTAGCATCTCACTGTCTCTCCACCTCCTTCATTCACCACAGATGTTCTTGCCAGATTCTTTCCATATTTATTCAGCAGAAATTTGTTCATCCCTCTTCTGAGTGCCAGGTGCTGAGCTGGTTATTGGTCCCTCATTCCTTCTGTATTATTAAAAACACCTTCCAATGTACAGGCGTTTTTTTCCTCATCTTTCAAAGAGATTCATGACGGTATGTGTGTACTTGGTTCTCTGTAAAGTTGGGCCAGTAGCATCTTCTCTCAGAAAACTTCATGCACTTGAAAATGTGATTAATTATTTGAAGATCTTTACCACCGGAGAGACTGTGGCTTAGATTCTGAGGCTCAACTACACAGCATTGTCTTTCTCTGGCTCCGTGCTAATAAAAATATGAGTTTGAAGAGTACGGATATTCTGTCTGGTGGAGTCAGCCTCTTACTGGAGTTGCTGGGATTCTAGTCCTTGAAGACCCTTGTTCTTGCTATACCATAAAATGTTATGGGTCCCTGAAGATATACTGAGTGGGTCCCAAGCATCAGTATTTTTTACATTTCCAGGTGACTCCAAGGTGTAGCCAAGGTTGAAAATGATCACTTTAGTGGTTTGTTCATGACTAGGCTGTAAGGGTATGTAACATCCCTGAAACTGAATGTGAAAAAGTCTTTATAGCTTTCAAAGTTTTCAGTAGAGAAGTCCATGGCTTGTCTCAGATTCCCAGAAATGCCTATAGTTTTGTTCATTTGGGTTTTTTAAGCCTAAAAACCACATTTCTTTTTTTTTTTTTTTTAAGATTTATTTATTTGACAGAGAGAGAGAGAGAGATCACAAGTAGGCAGAGAGGCAGGGAGAGAGAGAGGAGGAAGCAGGCTCCCTGCCAAGCAGAGAGCCCAATGCGGAACTCGATCCCAGGACCCTGAGATCATGACCTGAGCTGAAGGCAGAGGCTTAACCCACTGAGCCACCCAGGAGCCCTAAAAACCACATTTCTGATGACATTGTGTACTGATAGGTGAAGTATCACAGTAGCCCCACATCCACTCATGACCCAGAATCTTTGACATCTTTATGCCCTGCTGGGAGGCAAAATACAGATGTATCCTTGCCTCGGGGTGGGAGCAGGAATGCTGTTTCCCCTCCCTATGGTGTGGGGGACTAATCTATCACTCCCACCTTGGAGTGTACAATCCAGACAACTGGGGAATCCTGTGGAAAGAGTAGTTCCTGGCCACGTGTCTCTCCCCAATTCTCTGTGCCCATGACCATCATGGCTGTATGAAGCCAGCTGTGACTATCATACCCCAGGGGCTCTCATGTTCCTCTCAGTGTTCCATCGACTGTTAGTTCTACATGTTTGCTCATGCATTTCTTTGTCTCCAACATTGAGGAAGCAATGAACAGCTTTGTTCTTTGAATACTTTCCTACCAACCTCTCAATTTATTGCCTTCTGCTTGCAATCTCTAGTTGGAAGGAGCAAATAGTATAGGGGTGTGGTAGGAAAGCCAAACACCATAATGGTTAAAGACTTCAGTCCTTGGGAGCAAATGGCAGATGAGAGGAATGATCTCTTTATAAAAGCTTACCCAACAAATGAGTGAAAAATGAATGATTAAGTTAGAATATTACCATTTGGTAACGAGTTGTTCCATTTGGTAACATGCGTTGGTGAATTAATGGGTCAGGATATTGAGCATCTACAGCTGCTGACATCCCCCAAAAGAAAAAATCAAATATACTTCGCCTTCTGATGGAAAAACACCATAGCACCTACAGTCTTCCCTAAGGGAAGAAACTTAACGCTCTGCACACAGCTGCCAGTGTTCAGGAAGTAGGAAAGGCAGGGGAATATATTTAAGTTCCCCAGGAATGGGTAGTCAGCAAAACTCACACTCTGGCACACTCTGCAGTCAAATCCCTGAGTGCTTCAATAGCTTAAGTCTAATTAAAAATAAAAGGATGGAGGGGGAAACCCAGATTGAGAGACTTAGAAGACAAAACAAGTTTTAAAAAACGGGCAGGGCTTAACTGTAGTATTCAGGGTGCAGCGGACACTTAGGTAATAAAACTATAAAGCAGAGCAAGGAGGTGATAACTATGAAACTCAGTTGTTACTCTGCGGGGAAAGGATAGGGTTGGTGGAAGACAGGACAAACGGAGGGCCATCTGGGATGTCTGGCAAAGTTCAACTTCTTGACCTGAGTGGTATGTACAAGGGTGTTTGCCTTGTAAAACTCATGAAACAGCTATTAAAATCATAATAAGGAGAAATACAGAATTTGAGGCAAAGATAAATCTGAGAATATTGTATATGCCAGTGGATGTTGAAAGCGACATTTTCTCATGTAAGCGACCATCATTTACTACGTGATTTCCTGTGGTTTCAGAGTATTGCGTCATGGCAAGGATGTAACATCATTTAGTTAACAGTCCCATCTTTAGGCTGAATTTAACAAAACATGGTTTCAGACTTTGAAAGGTGGGATATCATTAAGGCTCCACTAGGATAATTTTTTTCAGCAGATTATTTATTAAACCTCATTTATGTTCTGGACCATGTGCTAAACAGGGCATCAAAATGCATTGAAAAAACGAAACAAAACAAAAAACAAAGCAAAATAAAACCAAACCTTAAACCGCCTCATGCTTGTAACACAACTGCCCTCTAGTGGCTATCCTAAATCAAGGTAGTGAGTCTGATTCTTAAGATAGAAAAACTTACTGATACTGTAAATCATAAAATTTGAGGTTGATGGATATGTTGAGAGTTTATCTTACCTAACACTCTGTAAAGAGCGCCTTATGAAGGAATAAAACACAAGATTCAATCACCCTTACCACATTCAGTAGAGATTTCCAGAATAATGTATGATCATAACTTAATCCTTTCTCATCTTCCTTGGCTCTGAAACATTGAAAGCTTATCTCTCATCCCAAATCAAAAGCGATACAGTTCCCACTTGTCAAGGAGAAAAAATATCTGTGTGATAGGTCTCCTTATCATCTGAATATATTTTATTTATTTAAACATTTAATACTTGATAGGGTGGTAGAGAAAGAGATAGAAAGGAAAAGAATATACAAGAAAAAAAAAGACTGCATCAAAAATCTGTGTGAATTATCCCATTTTTTGGTAAAGTTATATTAAAGAAATTAGGAAAAATAGAGTTAGAGTGCCATCTACTGACTTATAAGTCAGTCACGATGAATAATAAAGCACCAAAAGCAAATTGAGGAATACCAGGAATGGTAAGATTCTACTTTGGCAGAAGCAAGCAAACATAAATCTGTCTATGTGTGTAGATGCTTATATACGTAGACATGAGCCAGTGAAAGGCGGGCAAGGATTCAAACCCAGTCTTTTGGCACATGAGGAACTTTTTCTTTACCCATCTTGCATTGTTTTTATTGTTATGAGGAATAGGCATTTTTTTAATAATATGAAATCAAAAGATTTAAATATTAAATGTTCACAAATCAGTGGACATGATAAACTGAACCAGCCCCATACCTCCTCTGTGTCTTTCTCCTCTTTCCATCCTGTACTCATTGTCAGGACTATGCCCATTTGACAAGGTTACGTCTTTTCCAGCAGACTGAGACTGTAATTACACTTTGTTCGGAAGGCTTTTAATCAGGCTCCTTATAAACAGAATTTCCTCAAATCCCTCGGGTGCTTTAAAATGAGAAGTGTTCCAGAGCTGTTTTAATATATCACCCAGTCCTTGTTATGAATCTGTCTATGTGTATCTCACTCCTTGGTCAAATAATTAAGTTTAATTGAATAATGACTCTTGATAAGGCATGGAGTCTTTAGTGGGCCTGGGCAGATTCACCAACACACCTGCTTACGTCTCCGACTCCTGCACACAGAGAGGGAACAGGGAGGCTTTCTGCCAAGTTCTCCTAAACCCCTTTTATCCTGGGAAGGTTTCCAGTGCCATTTGGATTCCTCGTTGTCCCTCTGGGCTCTTGGTGCTTTTTAATACTGCTATCCTATCCTCAGGTTACACCATGGCTACCGGGAAATGTGTCTTTCTTCCTAAAAGGATTGTGGAGAGCCTTGATCGCAGGGACTGTATTTTTCCTTATTTTTCCATTTTAAGTGCCTGGGAGAGTTCCTGACACTGTCTCACCTCCCCCCCCCCCACCCCTCTATGCTTTGCTTCTTCCATTCGGGTGCTGCTCTAGGCACAGACTCTGAGATCAAGAAATAAAGTCTTGTTTCCCAACAATCTCTGAATTAGGGGGGCCTGGGTGGCTCAGTCAGTTAAGCAGTTGAGCATCTGACTCTTGTTTTCGGCTCAAGTCAGGATCTCAGGGTCATGAGATCAAGCCCCATGTCTGACTCTGTACTTAGCCCAGAATCTGCTTGAGATTCTTTCCATCTCCCTTTTCTTTCACCCCCTCCCCCTGCACGTGTGTGCTCTCTCTCTCCCTCAATTACATAAGTAAAATCTTTAAAAAATCACCGAATTACGTGGGGAACACAAGTAAGTAAAGAATACGGTAGAAGGCAACAAGTGTGTTGGTTGGGGGAATATGCCTGTGATGCAGTGGTGCCCAGCAGAGACTCTTACTGAGAATGGGAGGGGGAGCGTGGTTGGCCAGGAAGGCTCCCCGGAGGAGGTGTGAGTTTGTACTGAGTCCTACAGGCCAAGGAGGCGTTTGCCTGGTCGAGAAGATGGGGAAGGATCATTCCAGCTGGTATAGTAGACAACTGGCAGCTAGAAGCATGACTGCATTTGAGGGGTGATTTCAGGTGTGTCAAGAAGAGGAGATAAGAGTTAACGGGGCCCACAAAGTCATGTCATTCTTAAATACATATCATCCCCAAGGAAATACCAGTGATGGCATAGCCTTTGGTGCTGAGGATGGAAAGTTAGGTTGTGGTTGGTGCGTGAGACAGCCTTGGATGCCAGGCTAATGGGTTAGTATTTCTTCTCATTAGCTGTGGGTGCCTAACGAGAGCTCAGCCTCCTCTTGCCCTGAAATCTTGTCGCCTTATATTGAAATCCACTGATCAACACTCAAACATATAGAAAGACACAATCTAATCGTCTGTTTGACCAAATTCATTGATTTTTTTAAATGGCTGTGAAGATGAGGGAATATATTCTTTAAGAAGTCATGAATAAATCAGAAGACAAAATGGGTAAAAGGAAACATAGAAGAGAGTTGCTTTCAGGTAGGTTGAGCCTAGGGGGAAAGCAAAGAAAGTCTTTCTCCGATGTGCATACTAGGCGCTGTGCGTGCAGCTGCCTGACAGAAGTGATTCTCAGCGTGGTGGCTCTTTAACCAAAATATTTATCTTCTGATGGAAGTTATGGACTGTTTGCCTTCTCATCTTAGGTATTTTTTAAAAAGAAGGTAAGATAGATTTCAATTTTATAAGTTTTTGAGAAATTGCTTTACATGTGAAATTGACCATATATGTATAGGGAGAGACATTTATGTACCTCTATGTGTGTTTTCTTGTTAGGTCAGTGTGAACCAATTACGTTGGAACTCTGCATGAATTTACCCTACAACCATACAATTTACCCAAATTACCTGGGCCACAGGACTCAGAAGGAGGCATCCATCAGCTGGGAGTCCTCTCTTTTCCCTGCACTTGTTCAAACCAACTGTTACAAATACCTCATGTTCTTTGCTTGTACCATTTTGGTACCAAAGTGTGACGTGAACACGAGCCAGCGGATCCCACCTTGCAGGTAATACCGTGAGGTCTCCCCCAGCACCCTCATTTTCCCCTCAGGGAGAACCAAGGAGTCCCAGGCTCAGTTTGAGTGTAGACAAAGCCCATATTGCTAAGGAGCTCTGTATTTAACAAGTCATGTGTTTAAAAGGTAAAGAAGTGGGCTCCTGGGTGGCTCAGTTGGTTAAGCGACTACCTGTGGCTCAGGTCATGATCCTGGAATCCTGGGATCGAGTCCCACCTCAGGATCCCAGCTCCATGGGGAGTCTGCTTTTCCCTCTGACCTCCCCTCTCATGGTCTCTCTCTCTCTCTGTCTCTCTCTCTCTCTCAAATAAATAAATAAAATCTTTAAAAAAAAAATGGTAAAGAAGCAGGAATTCTAAAATGAATGTTTGAGTTAGGGTTCATGACTGGAGTACCACACAAGGGAGGTATGAATTGCCTTTGATAACAGCTCACATACTTTATTTTTTTTTTAAAGATCTTATTTATTTACTTGACACACAGAGAGAGAGAGAGAGAGAGAGAGTGCACACAAGCAGGGGCAGAAGGCAGAAGGAAAGGGAGAAGCAGACTCCCCACCAAGCAGGGAGCCCGATGCAGGGCTCGATCCCGGGACCTGGGATTGTGACCTGAGCCAAAGGCAGTTGCTTAATGACTGAGCCGCCCAGGCACCACAGTAGTTAACATACTTTAATCAAATAAAATCATACATGTTTCACTTTGGTGGATCAAGAAGCGTTCTCAATGTGAGTCAGCAGAAGAAGGGGTGTATCTGCTTTTTTGTCTGGCAACACGGATGTTTTAAAATGCTGCCTTTGGTACACTCAGTTGTCAGTGCCATTACGTAAGCAGTGGTCTGAAGGTTGGACAAGGGATGGAGCTCGCTGATGTTTTTCTGCCTGCTTGGATGAAATGAGGGGCAGCATTTCAAGCCTGCAGCTTTGATTTGGGATGAGCGATATCCTACTTCAGGTTAAGAGTCCTACTCCAGGAGTCCACCATCCGGTCCAACTCCTGGCTCTTCTGTGGCTGCTCTGTGGCCTGGGACAGATTCCTCGGTCTCTTCCAGTCTCAGTTCTTATACTCTGTCTATAAAAACAAGACAGGGAATGCTGGGTGGCTCAGTCGGTGAAGTGTCTGCCTTCAGCTTAGGTCATGATCCCGGGGTCCTGGGTTCGAGCCCCACATGGGGCCTCCTGCTCAGGGGGTAGTCTGCTTCTCCCTCTCCTTCTGCTGCTCCCCTTGCTTGTGCTCTCTCTGTCAAATAAATAAATCAAATCTTAAAAATAAACAAATAAATAAATAAAACCAACACAGTTACGGTGGTTGGATGGAGTCGCTGGGAGGGTGAGTGAATGCACATGAACGTGGACGCTTCTGGCTGTAAGCTCTGATGGTAGGAGAGGAGCACGGCTGCTCAGTGGCAGTTTGGTCTCTCTTCTCTGCCACATGTGGCGGTGTCGGCCGGGAACGTACAAGACAAGACAGCTGTCGCGGAGGTGGGCAGCTGCCCCCTTTATGCTGTTTCCCATCAAGGGTTGAATATACAGATGTGCTTGTCCAGTAACCACGGGAACCATATGTTGGGATCAGAAGTCACTCGGAGCTTCGAGGAATAGCAGTAATATCGATGTAGCGGACAGATGGGGAAACAATAAATTAAGTGCCAAATAGCAAATGGATGACAGGGAAGGGGCACCTGTGGAGGACAGGAAACAATAAAATTTCAGAATGAGTTGGGGAACTGAATAAATTATACAAACGGGTTAGAAGTTAATGCTGCCTTGTGCACACATAATTCCGAAAACTTCTGTAAAACGCCTTTGAAGGTATCCCTAAGAAAACATCTCCTCATTTTATGTTGAAAAGTTATTTCTAAATTTTATTCCACTTTGGCTAAGCAAGGTCAAGGATACTCACTAATCGCTTGTGATTAACAAATGCTTGCACTGATTTTCTTTTCACATGTATAAAAAATTTCCCTAATAGAGTATTCTCTGGAACAAATTTACATCCACGTATGATTTATAATTTCAGGGCTTATGTTTCACATTAAAATGCCCAAGAAGAGACTGACCCTGAGACATTATTCAATCAACATTTTAGTGAACTTCCTTTAGATATTTCAGTTCTATTTCTTTGGTCTACATATATGTCTTTCATTTTCAGTGGCTCTCAAAATGAGTTTTATATTTTGATATTTGCTTTTAAGAATTTTTTACATATTCTGACAAGAATGATATACTCATGTGTTCATGAAGCAATGTTGTTTTGCCATGCCCATTTATGGGTCTGAACATTTAGTTTTGAACTTATGAGTCTGAAAAGTCCAACATTACTGAGCCCTTACAATGTGTTAAATATTTTAGGGTAGTGTTGCTGTCTCGTCCTCAAAATATCCTTTTGAGGGAGGCCCCTACCTTCAGGGCTGTTGCCGGTGGCAGAACGCCACATGGATTAGGATAAGAACAGTGTCACCTATCGTTGCTGTGTGGCACATTGTCTTATTTTTATCATATTATCTCACTATATTATTGTATGATTTCCATTTTATAGAAAAAATAGGAAGTAGTGAAGTCAGGAACTATACAGTGCTCTGTAAAAATGAGGTATCCTATGGCAAATTTAAAATTGCAGCAAATAAATTATAGACATTATTTCTAAATCTGCAACAAAACTCTTCAGTCTCACAGAGAGTTATTGAACACTACTGAACTTAATGTTTTTGCAAAACTAGTGTGGGAACGCCATGGCTTTGACTTTGCCCGAGTTCTGAGGCTAAGCCAGCATCAAGTTATGCCCTGTCCTGTGCAGAAGTCATGTGCTAGAGCTTTCTCTGAAATGTCTCCATTCTATTGTTAACCTTTCCCTACCAGTTTCTAGCCAGGCTGGAGCTGACCTTTCTGGAAGGTCTGCCCCATCGTATCAAGAGAGAGAGACAGACAGAGAACTTTGTTGAAATTAATAGTTTAAAGTTTATAACTTTTGAAAATAAATAATATATTTGAAATGAAATAAAAAAAATTCTCCTAGGAACTTATTTGGGCTATTTTTTGGCTTATTTGGCTTTTTTTTTTTTTTTAACTATGTAGTTCATTTCTTGGTAATATATGGAGGCAAAACCAGTTTTCCTTCATAGGGAGTAAAGAAAGTCATGCTGATACCTCACTTTAAAAATATGCTTTGTGCAAATGAGATGACACACATGAAAGAAAGCACCTAGCACAACGCTTGGTATATCTTTTCTTTAAAAAGGAAACAAGCGCACTTTATTTTAACCAACTTGAGTTCAGTAGAGATGGGATTGGGAGAAGTACCAAGCTTTTCAACACTGTGGGTCTAAGCTCATGTGATGATGGCCATCCATGCCTTAGGTAAGCCAGGTTGGCACATGAAATAGCTCCCGTGGCTGGTCCCCAGAGGGCGAGACCTCTTAGGGGCTGCGACTATATAGATTCCATGATCCTTGGTGGCAGACTATCCAAACCGAAGCTGAGAACTTCCTGGCCTGGAATAAAAACATTGGAGAATGTGGCTTCAAAGACAGAGAATGAGAAAGGGAAAGGGCAGAGGGGAATCTGTTTCTTGGATGTTGTTCAGGGTGTAAACTTGCAATTACTAGATATAAAGGTCCTGGAAATCTTATGCATCATTTGGTGAATATAGACAACAATATTGCATTATAATCATCGAACTTGCTAAGAGTCTAGATCTTAATTATTCCAACCACGAAAGAGTAATGATAATTATGTGATGTGATAGAAATTTTACCTCTACATGACAATCACATAACAGATGAACGTATCAACTCAACATGTTTTCCACCTTAAATTTACAGCGTGTCATATGAAATAGATTTCAATAAAAACACACACAACAAATTTCTATTTCTAGTTCCATCATGACAGTTCTCTTAGTGAAAGTCTATTGCTGACATGCATGTCCTTTGTGGAGAGAGGTAGGACTCATTTCATTTTCCCAAATATCAATTACGTATCTGTGCATCTCTCTCTATTGGTATACACACACACACACACACACACACACACACACACACATACACACATACACACGATACATGCAGAGACCCACACTCACAGAATTCAAACCCTACCTATATTCCTCACACACACTCTCAGGCGTAGCTGCTTCTGCCTCCCATATTGTATCTTTCTTGCTCTCTTAGAGCCCTGTGCGAGCACTCCAAAGAACACTGTGAGTCTGTCCTTGGGGTTGTGGGCCTACAGTGGCCTGAAGACACAGACTGCAATCAATTTCCAGAGGAAAATTCAGACAACCAAACCTGCCTAATGCCTGACGAAGCTGTGGAAGGTTAATTTTTAAATTAATTACCGTGGGGTATCTAACACGGATGACCCATCACTATCTTCTCCAGGTTCTCTGTTGCTAGTGTTCTTACTGTGTTCTAGTCATCAGCCAGGCCACGGGGGTGAGTGAGTCTGTGAAGCTGGTTACATTGAAAACCTTGGTGCTCATCTGTTAGACGTTGTCTTCATTTTAAAAATAAATTGCCGAGATGTATTTAATATTCGAGGTGTTTATCTTAACCACCCCAACTCCCAGAGCCCATTATATGTGCACGCCGCTTTTATACTAGGGGTCCTCAGGATGGTGGTGGGCAGCAAGCCCTGGTTATGCAAGTTTAAACGTTTAGAGACCTTGGCAACGTAGGTTCATCAGGTAGAGAAATGGAATCAGGGACCTGCCCGCACTGATGGAAGGATTAGAACAGGAAACAATGTTGACACATTAAGGGCAGCTGGGTAGTTAGAAGTACTGGATCCAAGAGCTCTTTCAGGCTCTGACAATCCGTTGAATGTACATGGCTGTCCGTTCGGGAAAGTAGTTAAATACTGGAGAGCATAAAGACACCACTAACTGGAGAGATGATGCCAAGGATGAAGGAGAAAGAGTCTGATAAGCAAATGGAGAAAGCCAAGTTAGCTATGGTTGGTTCTGCTTGGCAAAGACCATTTTATCTTCTAGAATAGCCCCTTGGCGATAGCCCACACATAAATAGATAAACGAGCTGATGGTTCCAGGTTTTCTGTCCATCAAAACTAACATGGCTCATTGGTTTGAACAGAATGCTCACCTAGTCACTTCAAGTGTGGCTCTGGACGGTGTGTTCTGGCTTCCAGAAGATGTGATGGCCAGGCCGACTGTGATGATGACAGTGATGAAGAAAACTGTGGTATGTGTGAGATGACACTTTTCTTGGATACACAAGAATGTCTGGTTAGGATAAAGGACTATATTTAAAAATGTCAACCATTTACGGATGGTCGTAAGTAGTGATGAGGATTGAATGCTTATGCAGTTACTTTTAATATTACCAAATGACAAGGTCTGAATCAATAGGTTTTTTTTCTGTTAACTCCATTGATTTTCCCTAAATTATACTTCTGTTTATAACCTTGATGATATATGTGCAAAGCCTTAGTAAAAGGAGAAGCACTTCACAAATGTAAGGGATTATTTTTATTATTAGAGATAGAAAGCAGTTGTCACTTGTCTAAAAGTCAGAATAATAGTGTCTTTGCATACGATTTCCATGTTGTTAAATAGGCATCTAGATACACAAAGACAGAGTTCAGGCTCCAACATTCAAATTTAATTGGAATTCATTTTCATGCCCTCTCTGATTTTGTCTCTGTCAACAAAGGATAAAACTCCTTCTGACGTTTCTGCATTGAGTTCCAAAATCACCAACGGAAAGGCCAGAAATGCCGGTGGTAATTTGAGTGGAGCTAATTCCCATTTTATTTTCCTGCAAACCTCTGTACTCGTAACCTCAAAAAGCGTCAGGGAATTGAAAATGGGCAATGCATTTTACTAAGCAATATTCTGGAATGAAGCAAAATGATTGAAAGGCTATCCAAAGAATACTTTGGTTATGATCGTTTACCTTGTTCTGCTTACAAATGAATAGACACTCTTTGTCTTTAAAACCATGAAGGGCAATACATTTTTTGAAATCATTTTATTCTTTTGGTCTTTGAGGTATGAAATATTGCCTTGCTTCCCAAAGTGAATTTTCCATAGTAGACATTGCCCTTCTGGTCTAGACAAAATGTCACAAGCAATAAACTGAAATCCTATCAGTTGCTATAAATATGGACAAGAGCATCCTCTAGAAAATTAGACCTATCAGTATGATGGTACAATGGCCAGGGGTAATTTTGTTAGAGAAGCACAGCCAGTATTTTGAGAAGCTACTGTTGTTTGCTTGTTTGTGGTCTTTATGTAGAGAAATAAATCCAAAGTCATTGAATATCCCCATATAAATGACTTATTGAGAATCTCTTGGATTTGTTTGCTAAACTATGACTTGCAATGGGTTATGTTATTCTGAGATGCAATTTAGAATGGATTGTCTTTGATAGTTTAAAGAGATCACATGCACTCTATTGGTGGCGGCAAGGCCTAAATCTGTGGTAGGGGACTAAGTATTTGAGAAATGTAAAAACTTAGCTTTAAATGGTCTGAGTCTTTGAATATATTCTGCAAAAAGAAACTCAAAGCACTAAAGAGTTTAAATGACCCTACAGCATCAGGTTTCTAGTTGAGTCATGAGTTTTTATCAAGACTTTATTCACACAGTTAAAGGTACACCAGAATGAGAAGAGTCAGTGGTCTAATCCCTATCAACACTCAATATACTGGTGGCACTATTGAGAGAGAGCTCTAGTTAAGGAAAGCTAAAAGTGGGAGAGAAATTAATTCATTTGGAGTTACATTAATTGCTCCGGCAGTACCACTTATGAGAAGACCCTCATTAAGTTTTTCAAAGTGACCAATGGTAGAAATTTTATATATATTCCCCTTTGGAATATGTGCACACATTTGAATGGGCATGTCCAGTGCTCTGGGACAATGAGACACTTAAAAAGCAAATGAAGAAGTCACTGATGAAAGACTATTGGGAAATCATCCAGTTCCCACTTGTCATTTTCTCAGTTATCCCTCTGTTTCCGTGGGCATGAGTGGTACCATCTGGCGATGCCAACAGCAGCCCCACTGAAGCTGGGTTTCATTGTGGAGTCATTGTGGAGTATAATGCATGTAAAGGCTTGAACTTTACTGAATAATGTGACAATTAACTATTGACTCTCACACGCTGCAGATCCTCCAGAATGTCTGAAAACATGAACAGGTTTTCCCCTTAAAAACAATACTTGTTTCAATTATCTACAAAATAATGGATGCGAGGGAAATTTATTTTGTGTTTCTTTGGAAAATCTGCAGGGGGGAAATATGGTAGCCAAAGCACACCGTTTATGAATATGCTTTTAAAATACAGATTTCCCCTGCTTTCCAAAAGTAGAGCATTCTTACAAAAACTTTCATAAGCCAAAATTGTGTAAAGTGAAGAAGCAATTACCATTGATTTATGTAGAAAAAATTCTGACTGCTTCCAGGCCTTAAAAATATCCTCGCTTAGGCTTTTCTAATACCTACTACATATCTTGCTCGTGGATGTACAAAATAAATCCAGATAAAGCAGAGATGTTCACAAACATCAAAACTATGGCGGCGTGATGCTGAGACGCTGAATGTAGTTCCTGGGGAAGGAGCCTGGGGGCGCTACTCACTCAGGGTCCACGCTGCCTGCTTAAAGCCTTGTGACCCAACAAATGCAGAAGCTGTTTTCATTTTTTGCTGTTTTCTGTAAAAGCGAAAATCCTCTTTTGATTTCATTCAGTTAGCGGAAACAGCTATCAACGTGGGTCTTCTGAAAAAATGATGCGAACTTTCGAGAAGTGGGGGTTACTTGTATATGCACAGCCTTTAGCCATGGGCAGTGTTGCTCTGAAGCCTCTCCTGCTCTTGTGGTACATTTCTGTTGTTGAGGTTGTTTTGATTGTGTGATCACTAACTTAAACAACACTGAAATGAAATAATGAAAACACTGCCGGTATTGGAAATGTTTTCAGCAAGTATTTGGAAGAATTAGAATTACACAAATCTGAACACATCATTCCAGGCTGGCTTCATGGGAGGGAAGCCTGAAAAGTGGGAGCGATTTACAGGGTCTCCACTGTGTGAGGACAGAAGCACTTCGGCCTTAGAAAAGGTTGCTGGCTTGTCATTCACTGAACGCGTATGTTCTATGGACAGAGCTGTGTGTAAAACTAGCAGCCTGATGACAAGTTGGTTTTCACCGTCACATTTTCCAAGCACAGATACCTCAGCAGTGAAGGAAAAGGTGAAGATCCGGTCAAAGACGTGAATAGTGATGGCATCAAAGAAAGGACAGTTGAAGAAAATAACAATGGGTTATGTTTCTTGGCTTTGCCTTCATGCAGAGATTTGAGGTGGTGAGACTGAGGTTGAGTTTTGCTCAGCCTGCATCCACGATTTGGGTGGGCTTCCAGCAGAAGCAAGGTGGTAGCTGGGCTGTGGTGTGAGCAGCATGTCTTCTCAATGGGGACAGTTAAAAGAGAATATAGCAGGGGTATCTGGGTGGCTCAGTAGGTTAAAGCCTCTGCCTTTGGCTCAGGTCATGATCCCACAGTCCTGGGATTGAGCCCAGCATTGGGCTCTCTGCTCATCAGGGAGCCTGCTTCCCTTCCTCTCTCTCTGCCTGCCTCTCTGCCTACTTGTGATCTCTGTCTGTCAAATAAATAAGTAAAATATTTAAAAAAAAAAAAAAGGGTATACACCAAGGGCGCCTGGGTGGCTCAGTCAGTTAAGTATCTGCCTTCGGCTCAGGTCATGATCCCAGGGTCCTGGGATCAAGCCCTGCTTCAGTCTCCCTGCTCAGTGAGGAATCTGCCTCTCCCTCTGTTTCTCTTTCTCTCTGTGTCAAATAAATAAATAAAATCTTTTTTTTTTTTTTAAAAGAGGTATATACCATATGGAGAAAGATAGACGACAGTACAAATACCCAAGTGTCATTAAGTGCCTCTCTGTTTATCTTTAAACGATTAAAAATCATTTCATCATCTATCTTTTATCTCCCCTAGGGCTCCAATAAAATAAAATTCTAAATATAACCTCTTGGGATCGAAGCACTTTTAGTCTGTGTTCAAAGCCTCTGACGGTGGTATTTGTGGGCTGATATTTGTACCACTTGGTTTTAAAAGTTTTCCAAGAGACTTTTTTTTTTTCTATCCATTTGGACTCTTCAGTAGTATTTGTATAACTTCTCACAGTTATACAAATGGCTTACCTGGTATTCTTAGCAAATATAGTCTCTATGCCTGCATTTCTCTCTGCTCGTGGGAGGCCCTGACTCGGCTCTGACTAGCAGGAACAGAGTGAGGCCATTGTGTCCCTATGATGTCAGATACCCCCAAATGTGCTTTTGGGATGAATCTTCAGGATTGATCTCTAATCACTCAGTAGGGTTTAATTTTTCCATGTGAAGGAAGGGACATTCTCCTTCCCTTGAGGTATTTTGCTGCCCAGTCAATTGCTTGGCTCTGTTATCTGGTATCTTGGACAGGCAGCCTGAGATGGCAGGGAGGGCTCTGTGTAGACCTAGCCTTGGATTTAAATCTCAACTCAGCACGCAGAGACTGTGTGACTTTCGGCCGGTCACTTAATTTCTCTGGGCCTCAGTGTTCTCGCCTGTAAAATGTAGAGAACACCCAGATTATCCTCCAAAGCTTGGAATGCTTCTAACAGGTTTTTTTCGTTCCTCAGAAGGCAATCACTAAAAACCCATCTGCCAGGTGCTAGGATATCCAGGAGATGACTCCCCCTCAAAGGTCACCCAGGGGTCTCCCTGCAGGAGAGGAGTCCAGTCTTGCTTGGTCTTGTCTCTGGCGACCAAGGTCTTGTGTACGGCAGAGGAGCGCAGGCCGGCATGTCATGTCCAAAGCAGGAGCTGGGCAAAAGTCCCTGTTCATGTAGTAAACATGGGCCGTGGGGTGGTGTTTCCTCCTGGAGGTAGTGCCTGTCTGGGGGTGGATGTCCCCATCTCCAGGGTTAGTCCCTGAAGGGGGTCCCCAGCCCATAGTTTAAGGCCCTTCCCACTACCCCACCCTGCCTCCTCATAGGGTCCTAGGCCAGCGCGTGTTGAAGAGAATGTTACAGGGATGTCACCCCTAAACAGGGGAGGAGTGGGAAGGGGCTGCGAGGAATTGGGAGCCCTCTGGTGGGTGCTGGTGTTGCTGTTCCTTGTGGTCAGGCCTGAGATGGGTGGGGAGGCAGGTCCTCTGCTTTGGGTGCTGCTGCTGGTCCTTGAGACTAGGGCCCCATCTCCCAGGGTGGTGTGGCCCGGAGGGACCTTTGCACCTGGTGGCCTGAGCCTTACCACTGCAGTTCCTGTTGCCCACCCAAGACAGCTAGATCCAGACTGTTCCAGCATCAGCCGGTCCAGGACCCAGGTTCATCCTGCCCCTTGCTCTTCTGACCCGTTCCTCCCTGGAGGTATTTTTTTATTTCATGAAGCTCAAATTAGCAGACCGAATGAGCAGACCTCCTCACCCTGCGTGGGCCTGGGAGACTTTTCCAGGACAAGAAGCATCTGCCTTAGGAAAAGAAGGTGCCCCAGTTCATGTGGGACCTGCCTCTGGCTGGGAAGGCTGCTGCTTCACAGAGTTTTTGTGAAAATGAGGGATCGAGGAAGTGAAGAACGCGGCACAAAGCTTAGCGCACTTAGTATGAAGGAACATCTGGTTTTCCAGGGACTGCGGGGGCGGGGGGGCTCTTGGAATGAGGGACAGTTAGGGCTCAGAACGGGCAAGCCCCGGGCAACTGGGGTGAACTGGTCACTTAAGCAAAACGCCTTGGGTGTTGTCATTATCTCTGTGGTGGGTTGGTTGTGATTCTGACATAACAATTATTCGGTTTCATAACTTGCAGCTACCTTAAACATCCCCCCCCCCATCCATACCTGTCTTTGATTTTTAGTGGAGTCATACTCTTTGTTTTATTTTTATTTTTATTTTTTAAAATAGATTTTCAAATATTTTACAGTTTAGTGCCTTTATTTTATTTTTTTTAAAGATTTTATTTATTTATTTGACAGAGATCACAAGTAGGCAGAGAGGCAGGCAGGTGTGGGGGGTGGGGAAGCAGGCTCCCTGCTGAGCAGAGAGTCCGTCTTGGGGCTTGATCCCAGGACCCCGGGATCATGACCTGAGCCGAAAGCAGAGGCTTTAACCCACTGAGCCACCCAGGGGCCCCCATACTCTTTGTTTTAAAACATACATTTAAAACACAATTACACCAAGGATGTCACTTAAAGAGACAGTTTATGCTTCACAAAATAATAATGCTATCTTCCTTGGGACTAATGTTTTGATCTCTTCATCTCACTTCGTCTATGTTCGCCATAATTCCACAAAAGACGTATTAGGCCACACACATTTTTTATTAGAAAAGAGACAAGGGGCGCCTGGGTGGCTCAGTGGGTTAAAGCCTCTGCTTTCAGCTCAGGTCATGATCCCAGGATCCACATGGGGTTCTCTGCTCAGCGGGGAGCCTGCTTCCTCCTCTCTCTCTCTGCCTGCCTCTCTGCCTACTTGTGATCTCTATCAAATAAATAAATTAAAAAAAAAAAAAGAAAAGAGACGATACAGAAGGGTAAGTTAATGCTTATAGAGTACTCGTTTAATCTGTAGAGCAGCTCTGTGTAGCCAGCATTATTATTACTCTTTTAGAGATATGGAAACTGAGGTTCAGAGAAGTTAAGTAACTATCCAAGGTTGCACAGCTGGTGAAATTGGAGCTAGGATTCCAATTCAGGTTTCTGATTCTGATGCTGTCCTTCCCTTGCTTTCTACCCCTGATGTACGTGGTACATTCTTATTTTACAGAGGACCGCTGCTAAGCACTTGCACCTGGATCCAAATGGATCTTCTCTATAAGTCTGTGATTTGGAACAATTTATTTATTTTCTCTAAATCTCAGTTTCCTCATTTATAAAATAATGATCATAGTACTGACATTGTGGTATTATTATAAGGATTAAAACTAATATTTATAATGTGGATATATAGTGGATAATGACTATTATCTTGTTGTTGTTGTAGTTATTATTTTTTTTTTAAAAGATTTTATTTATTTATTTGACAGACAGAGATCACAAGCAGGCAGAGAGGCAGGCGGAGAGAGAGGAGGAAGCAGGCTCCCTGCTGAGCAGAGAGCCCGATGCGATGCGGGGCTCGATCCCAGGACCCTGGGATCATGACCTGAGCTGAAGGCAGCGGCTTAACCCACTGAGCCACCCAGGCGCCCCTGTAGTTATTATTATTATTACTATTATTATTATATTGAGGTCTTACTTATGTCCCAGAAAATCTACTTTTGTGGTCCTTCATCAGCTCATTCCAGAGGTTCAAGGTCTCCAGACTCTTAGGAAGGGTACCATGTGAATAATTAGAAAGGCTCATGCTGTTTTCGCTAATCCTTCCTACCAAGCAATGTGGTTTGTGACAAGTCTGTTATTGACAGAACACTCCAGATGATGTCTGTATTCGCTGCTAGCTGAGACTCCAAATAAAATCCTCATGAGTTCCTGCAATAGACAGCTCTGGGCCTGAGACCGTTCCAGATGGACAGCTAGTGAAACACTCCCACTGTTTATTTCCTACATTTTTGAATGGTGAAACACTTTCAATCTAATTTTAGCTCATAATAAAAATTTTTCTTCTAGCGACTTATTTTGATAACTTCTTAATGAGAATTTTGGAAAAAAGCAGGTTTTTTTCATATAACGGATTCCTAGAAACATAGATCAATCATCTACAAAATTTCTCTGAATTGTTTGTGGTAGGTCAAATGGAAAATAGCCTTTTTAAAGAAAGCCCTTATTTGATCACCGCTTTGCATTTCACTCACCTTAAACTACATGATCTTTTCCTGGAAAGGGGAGAGGCTTTTTGTTCCTCACATGAAATGAAGTTCCATTTAAAATACACGTGTGCTGGGGCGCCGGTGTGGCTCAGTGGTAAGCCTCTGCCTTTGGCTCAGGTCATGATTTCAGGGTCCTGGGATCGAGCCCCGCATCGGGCTCTCTGCTCAGCGGGGAGCCTGCTCTGTCCTCCCCCCCCCCCCCGCTGCTCTGCCTAATTGTGATCCCTCTCTCTCTGTCAAATAAATACATAAAATCTTAAAAAAAAAAAAAAAATAAAACACACGCATGTGTTGGAGGCCTGCTGTGCGCTAGCAGCGTGGGGGAGGGGAGGGGAACCCAAAGACGCACCAACCTGCCTGGTAAGGACTGTGGAGCCCACTGGAGTGATGAGAGCTCATTAGATTCTTGCATGTTTTAGCAGATGTGTGAAATGCCTGCATTTGATTCAAATGGCATTTTTTAAAGTTCATTGCACGTTCTTGCTATTTCATAGGCAAATTACAGTTCAAGCTCATAGTCCCAATCTTATGCAAATTACGTTCATTTCTCATATTAATTGATGAAGTTGATCTCCTTAGATCTCTTAGAATATGTTACTGCAGTGACAGCTTTTGTACCTGGCTCTTAAATTAGTTTTGTAGGCATTTGGCATAGGAAACACCTCTTACCAAACACACAGATGGTCTTTCCATTGGTTGACTGAAATTACATTTTAAGGTAATACGCATTTAAATCACTAGGTTTTGGCATATTTACTTAAAAGCATAACTTACCATTTTATAGGTGAGTCTTATGTGCTGGAAAATTGACTCAGAATGCAAAAGGCACAGCTAAAAATGAGCGTTAATGTATAGTTCCTTTTTTCATTTTTTTCCCCATTTTCCATTTGTCACTTTTGATCTTCTCTTAGGAAAGCTGTCCTGTTTATATGGCAGCATGGAGATTAGTGAATATCTCTACTCTCAAATTACATTTTTCGTGGTATACAGAAGTCAAGACTTTTTAGGAAGAAAGAAATCATGCCTTTGTGCTATAATTTTTCTACCTTGCTTGCCCAAATTCATCATTATTTTGATGTTTATGTCTGTTGCAAATAACCTTTTCTTCTGTCTCCAGGCTGTAAAGAGAGAGATCTGTGGGAATGTCCATCCAATAAGCAATGTTTGAAGCATACAGTCATCTGTGATGGGTTTCCCGACTGTCCTGATGGCATGGACGAGAAAAACTGTTGTAAGTGCCTACCTGCATTGGTCAACACAACTTTGTTTATGTTAAACATTGATTAATGCTCATTTTGAATATAAACTAGAAATTTGGAAATAAGTATCAGATCTTTTTGATAAGTATCAGATCTTTTGATTAAAACTCCACTTACAAAAACACATGCAAGGACATAATCAAGCTATATAAATTATATTCACTGTGATATTATTCTAGTGTTATTTATCACATGGAAGAATTAAAACACCCCAAATATCCAAAAAGAAGGGACATAAAATACAACCATAAGATGAAATAATATACAGATGTTAAAAATCAGTTTAAAAGAATAATTCCTCAGGACGCCTGGGTGGCGTTGGTTAAGAGACTGCCTTTGGCTCAGGTCAAGATCCCAGAATCCCGGGATCGAGTCCCACATCGGGCTCCCAGCTCCATGAGGAGTCTGCTTCTCCCTCTGACCTTCTCCCCTGTCATTCTCTCTCTCACTCTCTATCAAATAAATAAATAAAATCTTAAAAAAATTAAAAAATAAAAATAAAAGAATAATTCCTCCTGGGTTCATTACATGTCATTAGTTGAATGAAAAAAAATATAAAGTATTATGTGCACTATCGTCCCAAGTTTTTAAAGTACTCGTGTCTGTCTAGAATATCACATAAGGATTCACTCAGATTGGCCAACTTTGAGCAAGGTTCCAGCTAACATGCAGGGGTCTTTGTATGGATTAGAAAATATACCATCTAAATAGCCAGATGGAAAAAGAAGCACCCTTTTGGGAGAACCAATTAGAAAAAAGATGCTGTTTCCCTCAGGTTGCCCCTGTCCCAGGCTAGGATGCAGCAGGGTTTGGGTGGGACTGTCTTGGAAAGCACAGCCCGTGAAATGGTAGGCCGAAACTCTGATCTTGGGTCCCATGTTTACTGTTGGACTAATAACTTTACCCAGACAAAAGTCATTCCAGTTAGAAAATGCCATGTCCCAGTGATACTAATCTGGGTCTTCTGGGGCTATGGGGACCTGAACAAAATCAGGTTCCCTCAAAAAAGGAGAAGGAAAGGAAATGGATATTAGGTAGGCTATTAAAGGTGTCACTGTGATTTGTTTCTTCTTTTTTTTTTTTTTAAGATTTATATATTAGAGAAATTGAACAATCAGGGAAGGGGCAGACGGAGAAGGGACAGGAAGGGAATCCCAAGCAGACTTCCTCTTGAGCGTGGAGCCAGACACGGGCTTGATCTCATGAACCCTAGATTATGACCTGAGCCAAAAATCAAGAATTGGATGCTTAACCAACTGAGCCACCCAGGCGCTCCGACAGTAGAGATTTTTAAAGAATAAACTTTATCCATGCGTGTGGACAGAGCTCGTTTCCATCCTGTGGTCACTTCATTCTGCTCAGCCCCAGGGCTTGGCTCATGCCACTTCAGACTTTTAACCCTCGTTTCTCAAGTCCTGGAACTTCTGCAGCTCTGGGTACCACTTTTTCAATCCTAGTGTTACAAGAAGTAGATGACCCAGTCACTTGGAGATGGTAGCCTTGTTTAAGGGCTTGCTATTTGTATGGACTGGCACCTGTGGTATGAGTTTTTACCAATTCTGTTACTCTATCTTGATACCTGTGTGGAGGCCCAGGGAGCACAGCTTTCCTTCCTTCCACGCTCCTGTGGACAGATGATAACGTGCATGTTAGCGAGAATCATACCCGTTTCTGAAATGTTTCCATCCTCTCGCTTCTTGTTCTCGGTGCCAGCGTTTTGCCAGGATGATGAACTCGAATGCGCAAACCATGAGTGTGTGTTCCGTGAGCGCTGGTGTGATGGGGCAGCCGACTGCTTGGACAGTTCTGACGAGTGGGACTGTGGTGAGCTGCGTGTGTCCGCCATCGGCCACACACTCTAACACCCTTCAGCCATTTAAGCTTAATAAATCCTAAATGACTTCACAGAGTTTATTAACCAATTTCACCTGTTTTGTTTAACTATGATAAAAGCTGGCAGCAATGATTCATATATGTTGTCTCCGACTCAGAACATTTCTCCCTAAGTTATCTCGCTGTTTGAACTGTTCACGTGACATGTGAAAACATCTGGGTTCAAATTGTTATGACCGTATAACTACTAGAACAATTTGTAAACTCTGCTATCACCCAGCTTCAACAATTACTAATATTCTGTCATTCTTGTATCATCGACACCTCCTGAATAGGGTAGTAAAGTGGGTCTTCCATCTTCCCTGTAGTCTTGCTCCAGATCCAAATGAGATGAGTCTAGTTCCTCACAGGGACGGGACTTAAAGACATCTCCCACCCGTACCTCCCGTGTTACAATTTGTAACCTTGAGCTTGATTAGTTCTATTGTCCTTCACTCATCTCTCTTTCCCTTCACTGGGCTCTTTGTTCAGTCCTTTGCGTCATCTGGCCCCAGCACAATCATCATTTGTGGTCTGATTAATTGCACAGTGTTTCTCAAGTTACCTGTGGTGTGTTAAGTAGAGAGGAAGCTCTTTTATAAAATGGGAATTAGCACATATCCCAGATTAATCCTAACTTACTATTGGTTTCATACCCTTGCCTTCTCACATGCTTTCTTGAACAGAAATGATATGAATGAAGGTATAACTGACTCTTTATAATTTTGCAAATCATTGGGTGAACTCATGGGATTGGGCCCCGCCTCTGGTTGTCTTCTAACTCCTAAAGGAAAGTTAAGAACTGCTCATCTCTTTCACTAGAGCTTGTGGCTCTTTGAGGGCAGAGAACGTTTCTAATTCATTTTTTCCGTCTTCCACTGCCCTGAGAGCAGCGCTTTGCAGAGGGCAAGCACTCACCAAATGGTTCTTAATTAAATAAAAACAAATGTATGCAAGTGAAGCGAAAACATGTAGAGTTAGCATTTAGTTTCCTGAGAAGAAATGCTTTCTAATTAGGGTTTTCCTTTTTTTTTTCTTTTTTGTTCTTCTCAGTGACCCTCTCCAAAAACGTGAGCTCCTCTTCGTTCCTGATGGCTCACAGATCTGCCATAGACCACCACGTGTGCGCGGACGGCTGGCAGGAGACGTTAAGTCGGCTGGCCTGCAATCAGATGGGTTTAGGGTAAGGTCAGTAGTTTGTAGCACTGATGAATTTCTCAGGGGACTTTGCGGAACGTGGCAATAATATCTTCCATATGAATGCAGAGTGAGTGAGTGCTCTCAGAGCCCTCCGAAGCATGGGAAATGAACCAGGTGAGAGGACCGCATTTAATTACAGGCACCTGCTCTGAAGAGACTGGGGTGAAAACCGGCTTTGATAAAGCCTCCCACTACAGCAAATGAAGTAATTGTGTTTTAAGTACTTCTGAAAGGAAATGCTTTCGGTATTTGTAAAAGCACGAAGATGGTCTCTTCTGAGGAACTTGGATGGGAAAATCTTGAGATTTTTCTCCCAAGAGGTTATTGAAAGTTTCTTTTTAAGCAACACACATTTTTTAATATGTTGAGAAATAGAACTTAAAGAAGATGGTATTTCAGTTTACCCTAAGTAATTCAGGAAGTGTAAATCAGGAAATAGTTGACTATTTTTGCTCCTTAGCAGAATGAAAAGACACTAGCTCTGGCTTTGATACAAACAGACTGAGATCCATACTTTGAAAGTTGGATAACTTGCTATTTTGTGGGATTTTCTTTTTCAGTTCTATTGGGGATGGAAAGCAATAATTGAGGTCTTAGATGTATATGTGGGTGTGTATATTCACATATTTTTTCTTTTCAACAACTGATGTGTGTGAGAGTTGGGGGGAAATGTGGAAATGATAGAAATAAAAGATAAAGGAATTTTATAAAATTCTAGAATAAACAAAATTGAGTAAATGTCATTTCCCAGGATTCCACTGAACAAACTTGAAACAATTTTACAATAATGAGTGATCCAGTGTTGGGATAGCAACTAGCAGCACATTTGTTTTCCCAGTTTGAAAAATGACCTAAGTCCCAGTATCTTTGGCCCATTTTTCCCATGTAAAGTCCTACATCTTTGGAAAGTTGAGTAGCTGATGCTAATCTCTAAGTAAAGAGCTTTAAACTTGGCCAGAGTGGAAAAATGATATTTACCAAGATCCATTAAATTATACTTCATTTTCACAGCATCCTTGTGGTGTCTAAATGAGATGGGATGTGATTATGATTACAGATAAACGAAAAGCCTTTTGAATGAGATTGATTTAACTCTCACCAAGACACAGGTTATTTCTTATTTTGAAAACTTGATTACTCATAGTGATCGACAATTCTACTGAGAGTTTTGCGGGAGAGTCGAAACCACAAAGATTTTGCTAGCAGAAAAATTCTTTTGACAAGCCACTCTGTTCTATTGCAAATAGAAGGGATCTTATTTTAAACATTCTCCTTGATATTTCTTCTACTTTTTTTGCATATTGGATTTACATTTTTTATTGTGATAAAGTACACATAACAGAAAAACTCAGCATCCTAACCATTTTGAAGTGCAAATTCCATGGCTTTTAGTATATTCACAAAGCTGTGCAACCATCTCCATCATCTGGCTTCTTTCACTTAGCATAATGTTTTCATTGTAACTGTGGATGAGCACTTTGGTCCTGTTTATGGCTGAATAATATTCCATTGCATGGATACACCATGTTTTAAAATCTGTTCATCCGATGATGGACATTTTGGTGGTTTCCAGCTTTGGCTATTGTATGCGTATTGGATTTTTAAAAAAATTTCTTACTCTATTTGCTCCATTTGGTGTTATTTCCATATTTAGACATTTAAAATCTAAAAGGACATTTAGATTTTTTAAAAGATAACTTTATTTCACTAAGACTAGGAAAGACTAGGAAAATCTGAGAGAGCAGTGTGGCTGGAAAACCAGAACCACTGTTTGACTGAGTTAATGTGAAAGTAGTGATATGTCTTCCAAGGAAATGAGTAGGAAGGGTAATCTTAGTATTTTTGTACTTTTTGATTGCCCTCAAGTTTACTCTTTAGTTTACTCGGGTGGGTCATGAATTGAGAGAAATCTGGAGAGCCAGCCTGGGGCAGGAACCAAAATAATGGGCAAGATCAGGCCATTAATTTCTGCAGTAGAAATCTGCTGTAACTGCTGTCCCTGGAGATCAGCTGCTGTGCTGCAAATTCACAGATTTTGCCACTGATGCCTCAAACTCTAAGTAACCCTGTACTTTGAATCAGATTCAAAGTCCCTACAGGAGAGCCTGTCTGGTCATGACTTGTCATTGACCGACGCTCCAGCTGCCAGAGGGAGGGTTAAAGGGAATAGCTATGCCCCTTTAGCTTCTGGAGTGCAGTGCCTGCCTGTGTACCTTCAAACATACTCCACATCAGAAACTTGAAGTTTATTTTTTTATTTATTTGACAGAGATCACAAGTAGGCAGAGAGGCAGAGAGGAGGAAGCAGGCTCCCCGCTGAGCAGACAGCCCGATACGGGGCTCCATCCCAGGACCCTGGGATCATGACCAGAGTCGAAGGCAGAGGCTTTAACCCACTGAGTCACGCAGGCACCCCAGAAACTTGAAGTTTAAAACACAACCCCAACTAGTTCTATTTAGTATCTCTTTCCTATGTTTTTTTTTTTAAGTATCTGCTGATGGGTCTTGACCTGGAGTAGGCATTGTGTGAAGGAGGCAAAGGTAAATAACATCATCCAAGACCTTATAATGTAGCGGGGATGATAGATGAGGAAACAGCCTAGAACATAAAGTTGGGAAAAACTTCCAGACGTTTTGTCATCTGAGAATGTTTCATGTAGGACATAGCACATGACTTACCGCTTAAAAGTACATAAGAAAAATATTCATCTCTCATATTATCTTGATAGTATAATATACATTTATTAAGTCATTCATTTATTAATTCAGTGAACATTTATAGAGAAAAGGCTTGTAGTGTAGTGTCCCAAACTAATATACTTTAAATCAAATGGCAGCGGGGAGGGTCCCTTTTGGAGCTAGTTCATCAAAAACGCAGGTCTACACCAAATGACGTGTCTTGCAGGGCTTCTGTTGAAATGCTTTCCTGATAAGGGTAGTCAAGGGAACACCTGCACTTGGAGTTGTTCAGACCCGAATTATGCCTTCCATGTCTAACGGCGCAAATGCTCGGCTCTCAACTAAGTGCTTGCCCAAATGAGAAGATTGAGGGTACTTTGCTGAATCTGAAAAACTTTTTAACCCCCATCTCCAGATATCTTGAGTTCACCCCAGCCTGAAATTATGATAGCTATTTGATTAGACAAGGATATAAATCAACCCCTAAGTTCTCCTGACAGTATATTGACTTTGCTACCTACACGTCCAGTATTAAAAACATATGGACGTTTATTTAATCAACAAAACAAATCAGAATTTAGACTGCTCTCTAATACTTGCCAAATGCTCAGTTGAGACATCTGGTATTTGAGGAAGTTGGTCTAAGAGAATGTGATTCTTTGTATCTCTTGGCTTCATGAGTTTTATCTCTATATAAAACCAGATCATCTGGAAATAGGCTATTCTGTTTTGGCAAAAATTCCTTTATGGGGTCAGTTGCAACATGATTTTATTCCTTAATCTTTTAGAGTTGATCAATAGAAGCAACATCTTCCAAAGAATGTTTCTTTGTCTTGGGCAAAACCAAAAGATAGCCTCAATTATGTTACCTAGGAGTCCCTGATGTAAGGATTTACATTGGACTTTTTTTTCCCTAAAGTATACTCCCAGGAAAAAGCTTCTAACTTCAGATTCCATTTGTCATGTAGGGACGGTTTACTTATTGATGGACTTACATGAAGCTCAAAGACAGACTAATCCTCTGTACTCGTAAATCTAGCTCAGATTGCTGGTCCTGTGCATGTAAACCATAGAAAAGAAGCTCAAAATCTTATGGTCTTTTTTTTTTTTTAATTGCGATGTAATTCACATACCATAAAATTCACTCTTTATCATCTGTTTTCAGGTGACTTTCAAATACTATTTGTATATAACAATTCTATTGTTATATATTTACAGTATTGTGCAGTCATCACCACTGTATAATTCCTAAACATTTTCAATTTGGAAAAGAAACCCCATGCCTCTTCATAATCCCTCCCCATTTCTCCTCCCTAAACCCCTGACAAACTCTAACCTACTTTCTGTTTCTATGGACTTGCCCATCATGCACACTTCATAAAAATATAATCATATACCCTTTTTGTCTGGTTTCTTTCACTTAGCATAATGTTTTCAAGGTTCATCCATGTTTTAGATTATTTGTTTATTTACTTATTTGACACAGAGAGAGAGAGATCACAAGCAGGCAGAGAGGCAGGCAGAGAGAGGTGTGAAGCAGGCGCCCCACCGAGCAGAGAGCCTGATGCGGGGCTCGATCTCAGGATCCTGAGATCATGGCCTGAGCTGAAGGCAGAGGCTTAACCCACTGAGCCACACAGGCATCCCCATGTTTTAGTATGTATCAATGCTTCATTATTGTTTATGGCTCAATAATATTCCATTGTATAGGTATATCTGCACTGATTATCCATTTATCAATTGATGAATAGTTGAGTTGTTTCCATTTTTTGGCTCTTATGAAAATGTTGTTAAGAACATCCATGTACAAGTTTTTGTGTGAACTTGTTTTCAGTTTCTCTTGTGTATATACTTAAGGCAAGGGTAGGAGCAAGAATACTAGTTAGAAGGCCATCAAACTGCCCAGATGAGATATTTTGGTGACTCAGATCAGAATGGTAGCAGAGAACTTGGTGATAAGTGGTTTGATCCTGAATATATTTTAAAAGTAGATCCAATATGACTTTCTGGCAGATTGGATGTTAATTGGGAATTGAGAAGAATCAAGAAAGAGGCATCAAGAATGAGTGAAAGGTTTTTGGATTGAGCAAGTGGGAAGATGGTATTGTCTAAACTGAGATGGGGAATACTGTAGATGAAGCAGGTGTGGGGAGAAAGATCATTTCTGTTTTGGACATGTTAATTTTGGGATGTCTATTAGACATCCAAGTAGATATGCTTATAAGGCTCAAGTCTGGATTTTATTAGTGAGGTTTGAGCTGGAGCTATATATTTGAAAGTCACCTGGAAACAGATGATACAGAT